CATTGCAGAACCAACCCCAGGATATTTTGCCTGTTTTTCTAAGCAAATTGTATGTTCAGTAGTTGGCTATTGCTTTCTGAATAAACAGCTCTGTTGAAACCAATGCAAGGACGTTAATACATCTGGAAAACACATCAATAACTGAACATCCAGTGAATCGATTACTGCGGTTACTGATGTGAAAGGGTCAGAAATAGAAGGGGAAAAATGACAAAACACTTGTCCCATTTAACCAAATTTGATATTTTATTTTTACACAAAATAATGCATACTTTTAACCCCACTGAATGATACCAAACAACCTGCTGTATTTTCTTTCTTTATCTCAACTACAACAGAAGTTACAGCTTTGTATTTATTCATTATCTGATCTGTTCCACCACATGTCTAGTAATCCTACTAAAACAAGTTTTGAGCCGAAGCAAACGCTGGCTGTTTCTGTTATATTTTCATCATTACCCCTTTGTGTATTTTGATCTGTCTTTTTTTTTTTCAATGTCCGAATGTATGATCTAACTACTTATAACTTTAAGCTGTTGGAAGCCACCACATAAACACACATATAAAAAAAAAACTGTACTGAATAAGTAAAGCAGCCCTTTCTATGCCATAAAGCCTACTGGGTATATGGAAATTATGCCATACTTCTACAAACTGAATTGCATTCAGTGTGTGACATGGGCTGCCTTGATTACTTCTTCAAGTATTTCCTGGTAGCCATTGTGGCTTGGGTTGACTGAGGTCAAATCATTTTTAAAAAATACCCTTTAATTAAGTTCAACACACGGACATGAACACACAGAAACATCAGTTTTGTGTTCACCCTCAAAAGGGAAGTCGGCACACTGGGTTGTGATTTATACAGCTAGACTGTAATATATGAGACTTTTAGCACACCACATAGAAAACTCATAATTGTTTTTTATGACAAGCTTCTTAGGGGCACAGTAGGTTTACCAACAGTCATCAACATTCCTGTCATCGTGCAATCTTAAAAGGCTAAATAAGTGGCTAACACAAACAATCACAAAATAACCCAACTACCTCAAGAAAAGTTCAGACACTTGAAGAAGATCATATTTTGACCAGTTTCCACTCACGGAATTCTTCCAGTACTTTTAATTTAAAAGATTAAATCAAACTTAAGGTTCCCTGACACCACATGCAATAAAACATATTTGGTTATAGTCTCATTTTATTTGGAGTCTGCATCGTTTTGTTTTGATTACTTTTCAGCATCATCTGGAGAATAAAAAATAGTCAGTCAATATTTTATGTTTTTTTAAATGCCTAATAATTTACGGCATAATGGTTTACTTGGGTTTCAGTAAGATTATTCTGCATACACTATAAAAAGACATGCTAGGTTTACATGCACTTACATACTGTCCAGAGAAACATCATTACAAAATGTACCTTACTATTAGTGTAGCAGTAGGCTCTGTGGCTAAGTTGATGCGAACGCTTCGTAATGATGCCAGGTTCAATCCCAGCAGCAGGCCATGCGCCTTGCGTTGGTTTAGACAGTGGTATCAAGAAAGCCGACTGTTCAGAAAGCAATGGCGATCTAATAACTAGTGTAGCCTTTTCTTTTTGTACAATACACCACAGCTCTTAGGGCCCTTGAAGTAGAAGTCATGTTAGTAAAATCTTTTTAGAGAACATCATGTTACAAACTGCTACTATCTATCCATGGGTGACTTCTGTTAAAGTGAGTAATCACTTCTGTGTATGTGTCCAGTAAGATTGATAAGCAAGTCAACTATGTGGCCATCAGTGTAATCTGTTGCTTTTAGTCTTATTACAAAACCTGAGTGTTGCGCGCACATCATTTTAACATATCTGACTTTTATGTAAGCAGACTGTTGGTTCCTTGCCTCTCAGGCAGATGCACTCTGACTTTGAAGGACGGATTCCCAGTTAGTCGACTGATACAACCTGCTTGTTGGGGAGCAGTGGGCTTATTCTTGTTTCCTCACAATGGGGCCCCAGAACGATATAAGTAGAAGTGACGTGAGCGGCAATTTCTGTGGAGAGAACATTGGGCTTCATACTGCTAACATGATTCTATCTAACTTTGAATAACAAAGTCCATGACTGACACTGCTAAAAGGATCCGGTGAACAGCAAAGAGGTCCATTCATTCACCAAGTACACAGATCTAAGGAAAGACATGAATATCTACACCATCTGGCAAAGCACACGATGTAGATTATGACTATTTGGTTCTCAACTCTTCGTTTAATTCTGAGCCATGAACACCTGTGTGGCACGCACTAAGGCTCACACAAGATTCTGCTTCAAAACCTGACACTGGAAGACAGAAAATGGCCCAGATAAAAATAAGAAGGTTCCCTAACGCACTCCGTATACAACATTCAGTTAAGAAACTGAAAGACCTGCTATATATTGGATAAATCAAGCTAGCCACATATTTTCACACCTATGAACACTCAGTACATGTTTCGAGCCAATCGCATTTAACTTCCATATCATTTTTAATGCCCATTATAGACAAGCCCAGGTGAATTATAAAATTCATTCTGATTGGGACTCTTTCTGCCCTCCTCCAAGCCTGTAAATGTACCCATTTTGCAACACAGCTGATTTTGCGCCTTTCGACTAACACCCCAGGCACTCACTGTCCAGGTTAGCTGCCTGGGACACTGATACATGACAAGGCAGATGTGGTCAAGGACCTTTAGGAACAAGCAACGGAATCAGTAGAGAGAAAAAAAATGATTATTATGGCCTGGAGATAATGAGGCACCTAGGTGTAAACAGAGGGTCTGGCTGTCTCACTACACTCTGAGGAAAGGCAAGATAGACATATAACCGGTAGCATCAGTATTGGAACTCTGCCCTGGCTGCTAAAGATGAGGACGGAGCATGCACAGGAATGCCCTGAGTGATGTGATGACAATTCTTGACCCAACTCAACTCTGTGTGGGACATTACAGCCTCATTTTGAGTCATCAAATAAGCTTCTAGTCCACAGGTGATGCTCCCCCATCAACCTCGCCCAAAGCTGACATGTACTGCTGGCCAGCCCTCCTCCAATCCTTCTGCCAGACAATGTATATCAGGAGGCAGGTAGCATTGCCTTCGTGACAGCTATCATGCAGTCCCCATCGCCCCTTGTTCCATAAAGCTGTCTTCACTGAGGTTGGAACAGGTTAGAATGCGTCTCTATCGGCAGCATACAGTAGCAGGGACACATTTTGTGTTGTTCCCTTAACTAAAAACACTGAACATATGTTTGCAAAGTGTGCCATGCCCTCAAGAGAAGACAACTGGGACTGACACCACTGTCCACTGGCAGGTTTATAAGCTTCCCACTAGGTTATGCATCACCATGCTGCTCCTCTACAATACTGTGTGGAGATAAGAAGCTTGCTGCTGCTGCTTTGCAAGATATCATAAAACAGTTGCAGGTGACTTTGTCACTGAATGACTGAGGACAAGATGAAGAATAGTATGCATCTCTTACCTTCATCGTCATCATCACTATCATCGTCATCTGACTCATCATCGTCGTCATCGTCATCATCATCATCCTCATCAGATTCAAATGTATGATCAGGTATATCATAAATCCGCACAACAGGCTGCAAAAAGACAAATGAAAATGGCACACATTAAATAAGTATGGACATTCACTTTAAAAAAGCAGAAACATGGATAACATGTGTTCTAGAAAACAGTTAAAAGCCATGGTTGGATTCTGACTTGTTTTTCGCTATTTATGCCAGATTACAGTCGTAAGAAAAACAAACAATCATAATCTTACAATTCAAATATAGTTAACTCATTGATCACTAATCAGCAGTTCCTTTACAGAACGTCGCTCTTATCACACCCAACCTGAAAATCTATATTTCTCTGGCCAAATCTCCAGCCTATTTGCTTTCCCAGCCAATGCATCTGCAATGTGTTGTGTCCACCTGCCTCGTTTTCCAGAAAATACCCTCTACTTTGTTCTGTCCAGCCACCATGACATTTAACAAGGCCAAAACACTTTTGGAACAGGATGCTGTTTATCAGCCAATTACCCTCCATGCTCAGGTCACACAGGATCCCTGTGCAGTAAACTTTTTATTAAAGGTTGTTTTGTCATTTTCACTATTCCCCATAAAGACAAATCACCAAGTCCGGAAGCCCTAGCCGTACCATAAGACTGGTTCTTAGCTCCTGGATCCAAATCCCAAAAAAATTTCAAAATTTGGCTCGAACATAATCAAGAAATCTGGTCACTTTTGCTGAATATTATGCATCTTTCATGTCGTTATTATTTTCCACTGTAATAATTCATAACAATATATTTTTTTAACTCTTATCCTCCATGATTGCATACTGTGATATTAACTCTCAGTATCTCAAAGGCACTATTCCGGTGAGAATGAGTTATTACAGGACACACCCGGTGGTTACAACGTAACCTGCAGTCTAATGTGAGTGTGTCCACTATGATATATTTCTCTCATGTTTTTGGGCTTGTGCTGCAAAGATTCCAGTGTCAGAAAATTGTGCTCCAACAAGCACATCATAAGAAGCAAATAATCAGGAGTTTGCTAATATCGGATGTGACAAGCTCAATGGTGTAGATACTGTAAACAGTGTGGCAGCTGCCCTTTGAATTAAGAACATAGAGGAAGGTAAACAACTTAATAGAATCTTTAGCTGGAATGAATCACAAAGACTTCTTTGTCACGTTCACCAGCTGTAAACTCTAGCGGAAAGTTGTGACTGTTCGTCCACTTCTGGACGTTAGTCTTGTTCCACAACATAAGTGGTACATCTGTTTTACAGATCTGGTTAATTTGTATGCAGACTGTTGGTTCCTTGCTTCTCAGGCAGATGCACTCTGACTTTGATGGAAGCCCCTAATTAGTTTACTCTTACCACATGCTTGTTAGGAGGGCAGCCGGTCTATTCTTGTTTTCCCCACAATAGGGCCCCGGAACCCACACAGAGAAATCACAAAGACAACACTTATGTACCTTGTTGGGATCCTTCATGATGAGGTACTTCCCTTCTTTCAGCTTCATGCAGGTATCGATGATGCAGCGCATGATACCCCAGGCATTGTCCATGTTGAGGTTGATCTGGTTGGCAAACTCCACAGGTTTGAACTGTTGGGTGCCCAGGATGACATGCTTGGCTGTGTCCTTGACATGCAGGCGGGACACATAGCTGGGGAGGATGTACAGTTCTGATCATAGCTGATAACTACAAAACATAAACACGGAAATACAAAAACACATGGACACAATAACATGAATAGAAATAAAAACATGAATATGGACAATAAGTTTGTATGTTTACAAGTTGTATGCAGATGTGTGTACAAATATGAATATAGAAAAAGATATACAAAGATCAAAAGGGGTATTACAATTCAAAGATGAAAAGACAAAAAGAATACAAACATAAAAACGGACAAGAAATTTGTAGGGTTACAAGTTGTATGGATATGAGTATAAGCCTGAATGTGGAAAAAAAAATTACAAAGATGAAAATGGAAGAGCAATACAAATACCCAAAAAAAAATACAAAAATGTAATTGGGCAGCTATAAACAGACAGAAGAAAGAGAGGTGGACCTTTAATCAGGTCACTTGGCACAATCAGTATGGTAACCACGACTTTTCCCTAGACAACCAAAATAAAAAACACAAAAGTGCCAGTAAACACCACAAAATGACTACAATAGTATAGCTGAAAAGAGGATGCCTTCAAAAAAGGTGCCGGTGCTGCGCACCATTTAAAAAAAGCCTTGATGGGAACTCTTCATTGTCCAGTGATGAAAAGATCAGATTTGGGAATTCCCCAAGCACAGCAATGTCAGTTGATGAATTCTTCTCCAAGAGAGCCTCCAACCAACCAATCCCTAACTCAGTTCATAATTCCTTTCTGTCAGCTGTTCCTGAAGAGAATCACACTTACAACTGACTCTTACTCAGTGCAAATGATGCACCTGGGTGTGACCAGAGGGTTTGGCCGACAAACTACGCTCAGAGGAAAGGCAAGATAAACATACAACCAGACTACGACCGTCAACATTAGAAGTGGAACTCTGTGCTAGCTGCTAGGGATGGGGATGGGAATGCCCTAGGTGCTGTGATGTCAATTCTTGACTCAACTCTCACCTCCTGCCACACTGCTAAAGACAAACCTGCATCTTTAATGAAACAATATGACAAATGGGCTGACGCTGTTACAATCTTACCCAAACTTGATCTGGTCAGATCCGGCTAACAGTGCACTGACTGTCCATTTAGCCAATTTGCAGCTGTTGTTTTTCAACTCAGTCGCAAGAACTGCTCCACGCTGGTTGTCCAGACGGCTGCGCCAGTCCACTCCTCCAGCAAACTGCAATAACAATCATTTTCAATGTCACATCTGCCCCTTTTTGGAACTCTACAACTAGAAAAGATATAAAACCGAACACACCTGTATATTTGAAAATGTGCCTTGCCGTTTTCTTAACCTAAACTTTAGTTTTCCTATATTCACCCCCACCCCCAACAAAAACTGCCTGTTGGCACCACTTTTTAGAGCTGTGTAGTATCAACGGATTCATGGTACTGAAGTGGCCACATACTATAAAGGTTAGGATATTTTTAACCTCAAGTTGAAAGAAATCAAGAACACTTGGGCAAAGTCAAAAATGGGTCTCCTGAATGAGCGCCCAGTAAACATAAATCTCAGCCTAGGCTGCTCAATCTGAACTGTTTGTGGGAAAATGTGTCTTGTAGTTTTCTCAACTGTGACAGCTAAAACTTGTACAAGAATGCTTTAAGACACACACAAAAGCTCACCATCAAGGAGGGTCATGGACCCTTTTCCACACCTTCAGGCATATAGGGCTAGACCTATATTACTGACTAATCAGCACTGGGTGGGTGATGTGGTCAACAGCACGCCGGTCGCCTTTACTTCCCAGGACTGTACCCGGCATCCATTTAAGGCTGGTTCAACCCGGCAGACAAGGTCATTTTTGAAGGAAAAAAACATCAGGATCCACAACTACCTGAACACATGACCTACACCACAGCGGCTCTCACCAATAAAGCCCAGACATTCCAGAAGTTACTGTCTGTTAAGTGCAAACTTTTATATTCACAAGAATAATCATTACGTGAAAATAAAAAATGTGTTACTGATCCGCATTACGGATTTTATCAATGTTGCGATTATCCATCCTTTGAACCTTTGACAAGATGCTTTGGGGAGAAATACCTCCAAAAACTTAGTGACAAATAGAAGACCTGATAGAAAAAGAGCAAGGAAAGAAAGAGACAAATATCTGTTTACAGCTGGCGAACGCTAAGAAGAAGAAATATATATCAGGAGGCAGTTAGCCTTGATGAAAGTTACAGTGCAGTCCACATCTCCCAGTGAACCATACAGCTGTCTTGACAGAGTTTGGAACAGGCCAGCCTGCTTCAGTGTTTGCAGCAGCAGCACACAGTTACAAGCTACAATCACTCACCCTGGAGTCCCACTCATTAAGAGCTTTGACATTCATAAACTGTATTTCATTGTTGGGCCCGTAGGTTACTGCATCATGCTCCGTCCGTGCTATCAAGACAATGTCATTCCCCAACTCCCATTTGCGATACCTGAAATGATCATTTGCATGAATTACATCTTATAAAGATTTTGTAATTTTTAATATTATGTGTTCCTCTTGGGCCTAGGGCGGCGCATAGGGCAGAGGTCACAGGTCTCCATGTCTGGCGGTTCATTGCCACCTGCTTTAGGTCTTGGATGTTTGTTAGGCCCATGGTTGAGCCTTCCTTGATGATGGTTCTACGAAGAGTCTTCCTTGTTTTCTTTTCCCCTCCGCTGTCCATATGAGGGCTTGACGGGGAAGTCTTGTCTTATCCATTCTGAGCACAGGGCCGATGTAGTTCCAGCAGCACTTTCTTATAAAACTGGATATCTGGTTTTGCTTGGTCTCTTGTCTTATTTGCTGATTGGATCTAAAATCTGTCCAGTGAAGATTAAGTATTTAGGACATCTTCTATAGATATCATCTTTCCTGCTAGGTATGAAAAGCTGTTGCCTTTTTCAAGAATGTGATTGTTTAGTTTGATGCCGTCTAAATTATTGTTTCGGATGTGTTCAAAGATTTTGGAAATGGTTTGTTTTCTCTCAGATGTCTGGGTGCGTTGAACTCACAAGCACTGTGTTTACATAACCCTTCATAAACAGGTAAGAGCATCTCAGTGTGGGTTCTCAGTTCTGAGACCAACAGCCCCCAACCAGCATACAGTATAACAATTATTAAAAAAAACATCACCACTTTGGTGCCAACTGTCCGTGCCAGGGAAAAATGCAGGAGATAAAAAATATAATGCTCACACATTTCTAGACCTGACCCAATACAATAGGTGCCAGCGGCACTCTCCTGGGAGAAGGAAAAGATAAGCAGCACACAAAGGACCACACCATAAGTGACTTCTAGGGCCCCACTATTCTACTTTCTTCTGCATCTGCCCATAAAAGGTGAAACTGCATGCTGTGTGTGTGCTTTGCAGCTAGGCGTGTTATGCTTTTTGGACCAACATGTCTGACTTCAGCAAATTCTCAATTAGGAGCTTTCTATGACATGCATGTTGGAGGCAGTAAATCTACCACCCCCACCCCTCCAGGATCCACATGGGATGCAACTTATTTAGTCTGGTACTGTCCTAGACTTGATCGGTCTATAGGCTGGCAGGAGTAAGACAGCTTTAACATACAGTCCCCACGTGCAGATAACATTTTAACACCAGAATAAAAGGACAGTTTTTAATTTTAATCCGGTAGAACCCATTCGTTTTCTCAGTTATTAGATGAGCTGAATGCCAATAAGTAAAAAGTCAGGGGCTGTTTTTATGCCGACGGTGATGGGCATATATTTCTAGGCCAATCAGGACTGCCTTTACTTACCATGTTGCCTCCTGACCTACTTAGCATACAATGGGTAAGCTCGAGTGTCAATACACTGGACGTAAAACACAGGAGTTGAAATTTCTAACAAATTCATACCCAACCAGTTTCTTCTTCTTCGTGTTTACGGGCAGTAAACTCTGGCAGAAAGTTCTGGTTGTTCATGCATTTCTGGACTTTTACCTTGCTCCAGAGTTTTGCGTGCACACCTGTTTTACAGAACCCACCTGGCTAACTAGTTTACCTGTATCCCACGGATGCAACTTCAGTTCCCTCGGCACCCTGAATAAATGGGTTAGGTTTCTCAAAGGTGTGCTTCTCTTCATTCTGTGAGAAACAAGGAAAACATCATTAATTGCAGGCCAGCACTGTTGAATTTTTGTTAAAGTTAGTTACGTATCTGTTGGAGAACACCTAGCTTCTTCTAGCTGTCTGTGGTTTGTTGGAGTCCTTGACTTCAGATGTTGCCAATGCGCTTTGTAATGTCACTATACCCAATTTAATTCTAACCACAAATGATTTAACAGCAGACAGCCCTATAATGATGTCGACAATGGTACTGACAGCTGACCATTCAGAGAGCACCAGCAAACCACTCAGCGTAACATTTCCTAGTGAACAACCCCTTCAATAAAAAAGGAATTGGGGGGTGTGGCCGAACATGACTGAATATGACTGAACATGACTGAATATGAATAAACAGGTATTTAAAATTGGTGGCTACAGCTGAGTCTTCATAACAATTGTTATATGCATTGTACTTGGGCTAATCTACTTGGATTCTTTTAAACCCCTTTGCATACTAAATGCCTGCGCACGCAGACACAGAGGTTGGCCACAGTATATGCGCTGCTTACAATAGGAACATTATGTAATGAGGCCCTAATCGCTTCCGTGGTGTGACTCTCGTGCAACTGCCTGAAAGCCACGAAACTGATCTTTTTTAAACTACTTACTCCGGGAATGAAATAATGGTAGAGTTGCACTGCGAAACAATTTTACTAATCACATCAACGTACAAGAAACTAACAATACTACACCGTACACATCCGTTTTAGCTGGCTGCATGGATTTTGATCGTGGTACGGGACGCCGCAGATCTACCCAGCCACATTACCCACCGAGTGCCGATTGGTCTCTAAAAATATGGGCGCTCTTCACATATGCCCGATGTGCCTAAAGGCGTGAAAAGGGATTCTTTACTCTTTACTTACTTACACATCCGTAAAGATCTGGCTTACTTAAGTCTTTAAAGGTAAAATTACCGGGTTAGACACCTTTTATGGCATGCTAGTTATGGAGGTAGGTAGTGAGCCTACTCTTGTTTCCCTCCAAATGTGGCCCTGGAACACACACAGGTCATCACACTAAGCGATAAACACCCGGTGACACAGTGCCATCATTCAGATGGGGACCACCCGTGGAGAGGTCCTAGAAACTTCGTTCAACCATTGGGTTATATATTATCAGGGCACCCCGTAACAGCCAGGGTGGGGCTTCAAAATAATGAAAAACATGCCATATGGTGAGCCCTCATAAGGCAGGGGCAAAACATGAGCATTTCCCACCATCCAAGGAATCTCCCATAAATACAATGCCAATTTTAGTTTTTGTGTGTGTAATCCTTCTGTTTATCACTCTTAATTTCCTATGAAACTTCACATTTGTATTTTCTGAAAGGAGATAGCTGTTTCTGATGTATCTGTGCACAATGAAAGCAGCCCTTCCCAACAACACGAAATTTAAGTCTTCAATTATGACCCTTTGTTCTGCACTTACCATCTTCAAAACTTGCTGTGAGAAGTTGTGGTTGATGAACGTAGCCTCCAGGGCCAGACTTCTGGGAGAGTTGATACTAGCAGTGCCATCATCTTGAGGTGGCTCAGTGGCCGTCTCACTGACCGTCAGCAGATCAAAATCAGAGTCATCCCGCTTGTCAAAGAACAGCTTATTGCCCACTCTCTGGACTATAACATCCCAGGAGTAGGAGGAGCGGGGACAGCACATCATGGTGGCCAAGATGGCGTCGGTGGCAAACACATTGCCCTGAGTCTTGGCGAGCTGCAATGTAAACAAGTATAAAATTTTTAAGACGTATGTATGTGTAAGTAATGTAGCCAGTGGTGTAAGAGTTTAAAGACATGTATGTGTAAGTAAAGTTGCCAGTGGTGTAAGAGTTTAAAGACATGTATGTGTAAGTAATGTAGCCAGTGGTGTAAGAGTTTAAAGACATGTATGTGTAAGTAAAGTTGCCAGTGGTGCAAGAGTTTAAAGACATGTATGTGTAAGTAAAGTTGCCAGTGGTGTAAGAGTTTAATGACATGTATGTGTAAGTAAAGTTGCCAGTGGTGTAAGAGTTTAAAGACATGTATGTGTAAGTAAAGTTGCCAGTGGTGTAAGAGTTTAATGACATGTATGTGTAAGTAAAGTTGCCAGTGGTGTAAGAGTTTAATGACATGTATGTGTAAGTATAGTTGCCAGTGGTGTAAGAGTTTAATGACATGTATGTGTAAGTAAAGTTGCCAGTGGTGTAAGAGTTTAAAGACATGTATGTGTAAGTAAAGTTGCCAGTGGTGTAAGAGTTTAAAGACACGTATGTGTAAGTAAAGTAGCCAGTGGTGTAAGAGTTTAAAGACATGTATGTGTAAGTAAAGTTGCCAGTGGTGTAAGAGTTTAATGACATGTATGTGTAAGTAAAGTAGCCAGTGATGTATGCGTTTTAACACGCGAACCCGGTGCACTAGCTCAGAGCAAGCGAAGAGTTAAATTTCCGATGGTACCAGTAACTGTCTGATTGTATATCTGACTGTCTGATTGTATATCCGTCGCCTTTCCCCTGAGTGTCGAGCGTTGGCCAGATGACATTGTAATTCCTCGCAGTGCAATTCTCCTCAGACCGTAATGATCTATCTGTGCCTTAGCACTGTTCACTTGCTCCCAAAAGACACTCAAAACATCCAGTATATCATAATCAGTTTACCATAAAGTGGTGCAGAACCGGCCAGTCTATCTGCCTGCTAATTTCCAAACACCTGAAGAAAATATCCAAAGGATGCTAACTACCTGGGACCTTTAAAGTGATGCTTGCCACTCTGCATGGAGCATGCCTGTCTCCACCTTTCTCAACATGCTCTGTGAATCAGTTTTACAAATATGTTAAAATTATTCCTCTATCATGGAATTTTTGCAGTTTCTCTCACATGTATAAGAATAATTTTCAGCACATTAGGTGTAAATACCTGTCTAATAACTGGATCATCAGTGGTGGTGACTTTATGGAAGATACGGTTGATTCTTCTCAGTTTTTTCTCATTTTTGGTGGTCACCCTGTCGTAGGTCTTGTCGTAGTACTCCATGGCCCCATGGGTCACTCTACAACAAATAACATTTATCATTTTTATTTTCAGTAATATGTATACAACAAGACATGACCATAATACTGCTAACAATGTCCTCTCCGATCTAACCCTTTCTGAATCTTTTCCCAGGGTTCAACAATTGTTATAGTATTTTGTGCAAATGCAAAAAAGTTCCGTCTTTTTCTCAGCAAGGTATAAGAATTAGATGCTGATACAATAACTGTTATATCTCCTCAAATCTGTTCCCTCATACACTTTTTCTTGTATCTGTTACTGTGTTCACAGACAGCACTATCTCTGGTACTGAACAGAAGCAATGCTATCAATGCCACGAAAACAAACAAACAACAAAGAGGCTGACTCCGTATCCCCATCTAGGCTGATGGACATGGCGGGTGTAACCCGGAGCTGCAAGAAATTAAAATTTCACCGACATGGTGGGTGTAACCCGGAGCTGCAAGAAATTAAAATTTCAGCAAAGTCACAAAAAATATGATTAATCAATACAAAACAGGCGCCATCTATCATTTTACTCATGTGGGGCTTTTGAGTAAATCGGAGCACCCTTGGATCTGTCCAGAGTGCTGTGGTGATGCTGCGAACCACTGTTTACCAACTGTAAACTAGTAGAGGAATTTGTTCTTGTTCCTCAGATCTGCACTCACATGCATTTGACACACATGGCTTATCTGTATGCAGGCTGTTGGTTCCACACCTCCCAGGTGGATATTTTCCAGCACTGAAGGAAAGACCCCTAATTAAGACAGCTTGTTGAGGAGGAGGGGGGAGGAGCCAGCAGGTCTCCCACCCCACCTTGCCCCTTTCACCGAACACAAAAAATGGACCGCAAGTGAAAACCACCTTTCATGGCTGCTTTACTAATGAGATATTTAGGTAATGCCAACTCCCAATGTAGCTGTAAAAAATGACCTTGACTCCTAGGTTGATAGACTTAAATAGGTGCCAGGTAAAAATCCTGGGAAGTAAAGGCGAGCGGCATGATGTTAATCACATCACCCACAGACTAGTTTTTAAAATATAGGTCTAGCAAGGGTCCTTTATTTCAGAATGATACGGAAAGATAAAACTGTAAGACAAGACACATGAATGGTAATAATATGGTGTCAGAAGGGAGAGCTGGCTGGCAAGTACAGCACCTATTTATAACTGTATAAGACGGCATGAAATAAAAAGAACCTTGATAATGTTACTGCTCCCTTCTGACCCAGGCTAGTTGTATGAGATGCCTTGTAGTTTCAGATGAAGATGTAACAGCTTATCGGGGTACTTAAATGTGTTCACCGAGTGAGATCTTTTACACATAAAGAAATTATTATGAAGTGGTGCAAATTTTCTTTTCATGTCTGAAATTGTTAGTTCAATATAATGAACTGTCTTAATAGTTTGTGCACAAGGAGATGTAATGGCTGTAGGTTTACCTAAAATAGTATGACAATTCTTACAACCAGAAATAAATTCAGAAAGTTTTAGGTCCAGCAAGACAATTTAGACAGGCAGTGACCCATTGAATGCGGTCAACCACAAAGCACAAACTGGTGTTAAAAAGGAAACCTTGCTTTTACTGGGAGTTTACATTCAGACCAAAGTAAAAAGGATTGATGGAGAGGACAAGAGTTTACTTACACAGCATCCTTTCTTGGAAGCTGAAATATTTTGGTCATATCAAGCGACATGACAGATTGGAAAAAATTATAGCAGAAGGCATGATACCAGAAAGGAGGGGCAGGGGCCGACCCCAACACGAATATGGGCACAAGATAAAAGTGACTCCTTGAGTATGAAAGTACATGAGGCGGGAGAACTGGTGAGAGACCGAGTTTCTTTCAGGCAGACTGTGATGAGAGCGACGTTTTGCAAAGGACCTACATGATGATAGGTGAGGGGGAAGGGAGACTGTGCATTTGCCGAGGGGTCTTCTTATTCTCTTCATTTATCCAAATGATGTAACTGTGTGCCTGTTTACCCAGGGAACTGATATTTCAACTGGTGAATAAACAACAAAACAAACATAAGTTGTTCTGATATCACTGAAATAGCTGGTGCTGTTGCCTTGAACCCAAGTAGTCTGACTCAAGAGGCAGTGACTAGAGCAATAACATGGTTGGCCGACCTTTATCCATTTATACTTTTCAGTAACTCAACGAGTTTGTTCAGGAAGACAGTGGCTAGAATCTCTGAGGCAGTCGGGGCTGCAAATATCAGTCTCATATGTGTGCCAGGACAAGCAGACATGCAAGGGAATGAGCAAGCTAATGGGCTCGCAGGTAAAGCTACGATGGAGAGCGGCTGAGCCATGGAATAGACTGATATACTGAAATCTCTACAAGATGTAAGATGTTTGTGAGAATCAAGTGATAATTGTGAATCTGCAACCATAACCAGACTGCAAAAACAGCGTGTTAAAAGTGGTTTGGCCAGACAAGAACACTATGCAGCAAGGCAAAACAATCAACAATACAGCCCCTAAAAGCTGTTGGATTTGCTGAAGAAAAGATCCGAGCACTTATGGACTTAATGTTCCGATGAGCATTAATATTTATACTTACAAGTCCTCTCCATCTTTGATATCCGGAAGATTCAGCTTGGTGAGTCGTGGAAAGTCCATTTCCTCGACGACAATCCAGTCATCCTTGATCTGGACGGAGGCGTCACGGTTACGCACAGGCATCTTACTGCGATTCTCCTGCATCTGCTTGCCAAACTGTTTCTGCCACTTCTTGAGCAGTCGCTGACGATCGCGCTCACGGTTCTTTTGAGTTTTAGTGAGCACTTGCATGTTGGCTTGGGTCTGTTGCTGGCGGCGCTCTCTGTCCCGCCTCTGACGATTCTAAAATGTAAACAAGCATACATGACTACACACTAAAGAAGCTGAGAAAAAATGTAAAGAAATAAAACATTTTACAAACAAACATTAGGTGGCGATTAGAGCTAATACAACGGATCAATCACAAGATGACAGGGCTGAACTTGAAAGAATGCCTTCACAAATGTAGTAAAGCCTGGAGTGTGCTTTATGGCAAATGAATGAATGATGAGTTTGCTGATGGCCTGTGCTCCATATGAGGATAAAGGGCAGGGATGATGAAGATTTGAATTAAACGAGAATACAAACAGTCATGCTCATCCATTCATTTTTTTTTGGTAAATCTAACCCCACTCCATTTCTATTTGTGCTTTTGTAGAACAAGCAGGCCTAAGAGTGGCAGGATTCTATGTGCTGTGTCAGAAATCTGAACTGTGGTGCAATGGATCCTGTCTTATTACAATATATAAGAAAAAAAAAGCGTGATCTGTTGTCTCAGGTGTTCCACATGTGCACATGACTGGTTTGCCAATCTTAAATTTTGTGTACATGTGGCTGCGAAGTCGACTGTGTCCTATTCAAATTTACAGAATAATAACTTGCTCTGGTCAGTCCATAATATGTTAGTCAACGTGTGCCGGTTTTGGTGACTTTCTAATTGATTTGATTATTCCCTTCTGTTGATAAGAGACTGGTACAACAGGTTGTTCTTTTCCCTTGCTGTGCATACCCCTTAAGATTGTTATTTTGGCTACTCATATAACTATTTTCTACTCCTATAACTCATACAGCCACATTGCATCATCAAAGCCAACTTTAAAACACATATAACCAATGAAAATACATGACGACCAACCTGCCATCAGGAAGGTGACAACATAAAATGTGAGGCAAGAGTGTACACTAGGAAAGAAGATGGGTAGCCAAGGGAGGGGTAAATTCTAACTGCTATCTTCTTTACTAGTAGTACATTTTCTGATAGTTTATTAGTAACATGCGTTAAGGGTTTTTTTTTTTTTGGGGGGGGGGGGGGGGATTTGTGGGAATACATTTTCAACGGTTACCGGGAGGAAAGGTTAAAAAGTGCAAAGCAACAGCCAAAATACCAGATGACAAGGTAGGATTGTCATGGCCACCAATGCCTTCTAAAGATGAGGACTTGATGATACAGTCTATTTCTGTCTGCAAACCCAACATGGATTTTCTCGAGCATATTCACTGAGTCACTCAGTATGCACACATGTGTGAATTCTTCTCCTGCGTTCGACATCAGTCATGCTAAACATTGAGTCCCGTCTGGGTCACAAATAGGATTGTGCGTTTAAGGTCGCCACCGGTCCCCCATAGCTTCTCTTGCAATGTGGCTCCCTTGGGCCAGATCCAGTCTTTGCTGGGAGAGGTTAGGGCAGTACTGTAGTATGTGCTCAGGGGTCCTTTCTGCTCCACAATCACAGGATGTGTGAACTCTGAGTACCCAGCCATACCAATGCCCTTGTTACAGCCGCAGGGATCAAGCCTAGCAAAATGGCTACCAGAGTATTATCTTAGATAGAAGACAGACAAGTCCAAACAGGTGAAATCCACAGGTCTCATATTTCAGGGGTCGTAGATAGGCTGCATGCGGTCGTGGGACCTAGGCTGCATGCAGTCACGGGACCTAGGCTGCACTCTCTGGTGGGACATAGGTGGGTTGGGGTTAGGGCCAAATTTAGATGTCTTGTGGTCGTTAAAAGCATCAGAAAGCCTGGAAACCGTCTTACCACCCTCTAAAATTTTGGACTGTCCTGTCACATCTGGGGTAGGATATTAATAAAAAACAGACCTCAAAGCAGATCTTATTACTCCACAAAATAACATTATCAACTTGTACAAATGCTGTCTTCACGAAGAAAATGTCTGAAGACGGATGTGTCGTCGAAAATGCACCAATATTGCAGCCATGCTATAAAGAGCACAGCACAATTTTTTGTTTGATGAAGAATTATAAAGTACTTTCACAATGCAGTCTTATCAGTTCTATAATAAAAATGGCTTTAATATGTCAACAAACAATATATCAACCTACCAAGGTAACGTTTGTCTTGATAAGTGTTCCCAGCAGTGACAGTTGCAGAACCAATAAAGACGTGGAACAAAAGTTGGCTATCCTCCTAATAACGGCCACATGTGAACTGCAGACTTCCGGCGACTATACCGCCACGAGTATCTCCCATGCCGCTGTGCGCGGCGTGGACTGGTATAAACTAGATGGCTGGGACTCACAAGCAAAGCTGCAGGAGTCCCAGCCATCTAGTTCAGCCCCAACCACGCGTCGCTCACGCGGCGTGGGGGACACTCTCGGCGGTGGCAGGAGTCGCCGGAAGTGGGCAATTTAAGTCGCCGCAAGTGCGCAATTGACACGTGACTGAGGCCCTGTTAGGGTATATTTTCTGCCTCGATAATTTGGGACCGTTTTTCGGAAGACAGCCCAATAATGTAATATTTTATTGCATAATAACATAATGAAGAGTCATGATATTATTATTATTAATAATACTTATATTTGGCTATTTCTTCGATCTATCTATCCTATTAACTTTTTGGCTCTCCACCAAACTTCTACCCCTGCATCATGGCGGCCTGAAATATCCTTACAGGGCTCAGGCATAGGTAAAATGCGGACTTTTTGCCAAGGAACAAATCGAGGCAAAACTAGGATTACTTGACAATTTCAAGAGACACAACATTGCAGACGATAGTAGCAGATGACAAAAGCGACCGTTGACAATTTCGAGCGTTTCTGCAGACAATAATAGCAACCATTGACAATTTCGAGATATTACAGACGATGAAAGCGATATGGCGGGTAGACCTAGCGCTCCAACGCAGATTAACAACACTGTTCTTCTGATTAAGGATTTAGCAGCGGTAGATGTCAGACTTTTCGGCGTGCGCAAAACGCGATTAAACTCACCGCTAAGCGTATCCGCCGCTAGGAGTGGCGCAGATGGGGGCTAAATTAGGTGCCTGGGACTCACAAGCAAATTAATTTGAGGAAGTTGCAGGAGATGCGGTAGCTGCTGCTCGTGAGTCCCAGCCATCTAGTTTAGCCCCTTTCAGCGCTGCACGTAGCGGCGCGGGGGATACGGTCGGTGGTGAGGCATAGTCACAGAAACAGGTCCGCAAGTAACATATCGCTGAGACCCTGTTACTGTTAGAGCATTTATTTCATTATACGAGCCAGCATATTTTTAAAAGAACGGAACCCCATAAAGATATTTTATGGCCGCCATAATGCCGGGGTAGAAGTTTGGAGGAGAGCCAACTTTTGGCGCTTCTTTGAATCGTTCCCCAAAATGGCGGCTTTAACCCTTTCGCTGCTACATTCCCGGAAATTACTGTCTGCCCTGTGCATTGCCCAAGTGAAAAAAAGTCTCTGCTGTGCACAATACTTTACTATCCTCCAAACGCGAAAGATGCGTCGGCGGTGAGGGCTATATTTTGTAGAACTAAAATATTTTACCCTGGGGAGTTTTGTGGTTGGTCCGAGTGGTGACAAGTCAGAGGCACGATGGTGCCCCACAAACTTGACTAACGGACCTATCGCCCCCCCCCCCCCCCCCTGGGGTGGTGGAGGGGAGTGGGGAATTAATGGAAAGAACTGTTCCCAGTGCGTATCCCAAAATTTGATTGACGAACCTACCACGGCTGCCACTTTAATTATAGTTTTTTTTTGTAGTCACCATGTTATTACATACCAAAATAATAATAATAATAAAAAAAAATAATAATAATACTTGGGTCATCCGTTGCTGAAAAGTAGCAGAAACTTATAGGAAAATTTACAATAATTAAAAAAAAAAAACAAAACACACAACTTTGGGGGTTGAACACACGACCCTCCGATTCTAAGGCGGACGTGATACCAGTTACACTATGCTACCGCTTGACACATTGCGCTATGTGAATGATAATAATGAGTGCTGTAAGTAGACTTTCAATAATGTGTCTAATTTTGTAATCTATCGCCGCCTGCATGAGCACTGTTGTCTGAAAAATGTTTGAGATTCTCAACAATAGTAAAAATCTGTCCCTTGACTTTATCTCACGGAAGTTTTTAGCAGTCTTTGCTCAAGTACTCTATTTTGAGTTTCTTTGTTCTAAGTAATAAGCAGACAGAGAAAGAAAAAAAAGTTCGTCCGAATCTGTGTCTGTCCATCGGGAAAGGCGAGAATTTATAGTGACTGAACTGTTTGAATTTACAGTAGCTGAAATACAGCCAGAGCTGGAGTCATCAAAATTATGCACTACTGGTATCAAATCATCGGTTGACCAAGACAACTAATCAATTTATTGCCTTTTTGATGGCGCTTCATTATCGCTGCTCTCTGATTCCGATGATGAGGACGTCGAACAGGCAAACAGCTTTTTTTCTTGGACGCGCCGGTTTGAGCCGTCGATATTGATGGCCTAGTCAAATCTTTTTGTTCACTGTCAGAAGTACACATTTCAAAGTCATCTTCGCTATCATTTCTTGACAGAAACTCTATAATTCTTTATCAACTTTAACAAGTTTTCTTGCCATTTTGTACTAAGTGTAGAATAATCCACAAACACAAATATATATCAGGGCACAAAATACACAGATCACCGACCACGCTGTCATGGTAAACAAAGCAACGGGATGACGCAGAATGCAGTAAACACACCTAAAAGCACTTGCCAGTGCTTTTAATCGTATGTAAATGGGTCAGTTTAATCTAAATATAGCTAATGTATATTTCCTCTCAGCCAATAAAATACGAGGTAATAGAAATCTGTAAGAAAAGTCCAAAAACGGCTTGGGACGTCCATAGCACTGGGGGTCAAGAAAAAAAATAACGTCCAAAGACGGGCGTAGCAGCGTACGGAAAATCTGGAAAAGACGTCCATAGCAGCGAAAGGGTTTAATATGATGGCGTTCAAAAAGGAGCTAAATTGGCCAATTTCTGGCCATAAAATATCCAAAAGCGGGGTCAGTTCTATTTAAAATATATGTGCCGGCTCCGAATAACGAAACAAATGCTCTGACAGGGTCTCCGCGATACGTTGCTTGCCGACCTGCTTCTGCTAGTGTGCCTCACTGCCGAGCGTATCCCCCGCGCTGCTACGTGCAGCGCGGATAGGGGCTAAACTAGATGGCTGGGACTCACGAGTGGCAGCTACCACATCTGCAACTTCCTAGAATTACTGTACTCGTGAGTCCCAGGCACCTAGATACGCTCGGCGATGAGTTTTAATCGCGTTTGGCGCATGCCGACAAGTCTGACATCTACCGCTGCTAAATCCTCCAATCGGAAGAACACAGTATTGCTAATCGTTTTCATCGTCTGTAATGTCTCGAAATTGGTCAACGGTCGCTAATATCGTCTGCTAGTATCGTCGTCGCAGAAACGCTCGAAATTTTTGTCAACAGTCGGTATTTATCGTCTGCTACTAGTACCGTGTGCAATGTTGATAGTGATTGTCAAGTAATCCTAGTTTTGCCGTGATTTGTCCCTTGGCAGACAGTCCGTATTTTAGATATACGGGAACACCGTCGTTCGGATAATTTTGGATATTTTATGGCCAGAATGTGGCATGCCGCCATTTTGGGGAATGGATCAAAGGAGTGCCCAACTTTTTTCTTATCCCTTATCTAAACAATACTAACATTTTGGAAAAAATTGACAGAAATTTAATGAACAATTAACAGTTTGATTCTGAGCTAAAAACACAGCTGATCATGATAGGATAATGGCACTCTACTACTACTTGCACTACAAAATTATTTTTCTTAACTTTGTGACTCGTGTCATTCAGACAGACAAGTGAACAGTAAAAATCAAACAAATATCTCGACTTACAGTTGGCATACAAATATATCCGCTTTATTTGACTTAACTACAATAACAGGGTACTACTGTACTCTTAATGCGCCTTTACTAATATACTAAACATCTCATGATAACATGATTTATCTTGTTCAGGTTTGGTTTCACAACCTCGTTGTGAGTCGTGGCGACCGATAGAGGGAGGGCGATGGGTGCGCAAAAATCACAACAATATAAACAAAGATGTAATTACCTTTCCTAGCCTGACATCTTTGGCGAAAGGTTGATAAGGCATATCTTTGAAATGATCTGGGATCTGGCATGGTCCCCATCCTGTAGGATTGTCTTGAATCTGCGGTGTCACGAAGTGCGGCTGCGACATTTTGAAGCCGGGAACTAGAGAAACGACAAAACGTGAGTCGTGCAATCAAACCAGCTGAACAATGCGGCTGACAGCGGGCAGGGTTACCAGTTTGGCCTTTTTTAAGGCGAGATTTGAGAAAAGTTGTGATTTTCAGTGGTTAATATAAACCAGGACTATTTAACAGGCGGCCCGCGGGCCAAATCTGGTCCGCAAAGACATAGCAAGTGGCCTGTGGATCATTGCCAATTGTATTAATGATCTTTTAATCCTTGGGCTCTGGCTTCTGGTCCGAGACGATTCCTTTTTTTTTTTCAATTAAAAGTAAACTTTATTTGAATAGTCCTGGTCTAAACAAACTAATAATAAGCAGACAATCTATTTATTTATATGGCCTAAACCAAAGAGTGTTTGGCTTTTCGGCATATATACCTGAGCAACAAACTTTTCTCTAAAAATGTGTGTGTATATTTAATTTGATAGAAGATGAAATTGCAAGATGCTGGAGTCTTGGGAACTGCATTCGTTTTGCATAGGATGGTGCATCTAATATGGTTGATTGTAACAACTCTGTGGTTTTGCAGTGTATTGGTGTTGAGGACTTGTCATGTCTTTTTCAAGACAGCTCATTGCTCGTCACCTTTTCATTCCCTTATAATTCATCTAACTGACTTATTCTGTGGCGATGGGCGAGCGGCAAAGCAATAGGCAGTCATAGTACATAGGCGGCCGGTCCACATGGTCATCTTCCAATGGCGGGAGCAGCAGTAGGATTTGGCATGCCCCTGAGTGACTGGGCAGTTCTCTTTAAGACTGCTCACCTCCATGACATGAGCAAGAGCTAGAAAAGACATCCTAAACATTGCCTGCTCTACCACTACAACGGAATGAAACCTACCACAATCCTCAGCGCTTATGCACCCACCATGACAAACTCGAAGATGCGAAATATAAGTTTAATTAAAATCAGAACGTGGAAATGAACTGGACACTATCAATGGAGTATATTTATAACACTTCTATATAAATTTTGGGTCCCAATATTGGAAAACAAAATGAATAGTTCAAAAACAATTCTGAAGAAATACAAGAGTTGCTGGCTGAGAAACATTAAGTGATCCAAAGTACATACAAGAAGGTTGCTTTCTACAAGATGTGGAGAATGGTGCAGCGTAAACAGATGAGGATTTGTTTGAGTAAAATTAAAGCATGTACTTTCAGGTATCTTATGATTGTTGACGACTTTACTCTCAATGCTGGTTCGGGAGCGGATTTGAGTTCAACATGGACAAAGTATCCGAGTCTTGTACCAACTATGGGATTACCATCAACAAGAAGAAAACGGAAATCATGTACCAATCGGCACCAAAGTATTTGCTGAACCGACCATTTGTGAAAAGACAAGAAATTAAGGGTTGTGGATAGATGCACGTGCCTTGGTAGTAGATTCTCAAAATGTCACTAACGACGATAATGTAAACACTAGGATCTCTTAAGTCAGCTGTACATTTGACAGACCACTGTGTGGCTTTGAAGTGGAAGACGTATACAAACCAAAATGAAAGCATACAGAGCTGCAGTCCTTCCAGTGCTGCTGCATGCCTGTGAAATACGCACTGTATACAGACACATACAAAGAAGCTCAACCAGTTCTATACAGTCTAAGAAAGATACTGAACATTTATTGACAGGGCAGGGTCCTGGATACTGTTGTAGTGGATAGAGTTGACATTCAAAGCAGATACCACCCTGATGCAGTCACAAATTCGATGGGCAGGCCACCTCGTTCGTTTGCCAAACTACAGCCCCCCACCCCCACCCCAAAAATCTTTTATGGTGCGATACAAAAAGACAGACGCTCTCATGGTGACCAGAAAAAAAAAAAAGAAGCAACGTTTCAAGGACAGGCTAAAGGCATCCCTCTCCTTCAATATAAATTCAAACACCTGGGAAGCTGCTGCTCAAGACTGGACTGTATGGTGAATGACAATTCGAAAAGGCGCAGCTACGGGCAAGGCATCTAGATAAAGGGTAACTGAACAGCCAAGACAGAACAAAAAGACCCGTATATAGAGCCTTTACCTACAGATACTCGGCTAATTTACGAATAACGGTCCCAAATTATCTACGCAGAAAATATTCCCTAACAGGGCCTCAGTCAGTGTCAGTTGAGTACTTCCGGGGACTATACCGGCACCGCCGAATTGCGAACTTCCGCCACCGCTGAGAGTACTCCGAGCGCCGCTCGCGCGGCGTGGATTGGGGCGAAACTAGATGGCAAGGCCAGGACTCACGAGCAAATAAAACAATGGCACCTACAGGAAATGCGGTAGCTGCTGCTCGTGAGTCCCAGCCATCTAGTTTAACCCCAATCCACGCCGCGTGAGCGGCGTTTGGAGTACTCTCGGCGGTGGCAGGGGTTGCCGAAAGTTCGTAATTCGGTGGCGGCGGAAGTCGCCGGTAGCTCGCATTTCTAGACGGTACTGCGCAATTGACACGTGACTGAGGCCCTGTAAGGGTTATATTTTCTGCGTAGGTAATTTGGGACCGTTATTTGGAAGATAGCCAAATACTCTTTGCCAACTCCCTTTGCCCTAGATCCACCCTGGCCAGTTTTTGGCTTATAAGTCATCTCTGAACGCACAATCAACTACATCTTCATAATGGATAAATCTTCATAATGGATAAAAGACCCCCGTGTGGGTTCCGGGGCCCCATTGTAGGAAAAACAAGAATAGACCCACTGCCTCCCCAAAAGCATGTCGTAAGAGTCGACTAACTGGGGAGCTACCTTTGAAGTCGGAGTGCATCTGCCAGAGAGGCAAGGAACCAACAGTCTGTATTCAAGCGAATGAGATCTGTAAAACTGATACACACGCAACACTCAGGTTCTAGAGCAGGACTGCAGTTCAGTAGTGGACGAGCAACCAGAACTTTCCGCCAGAGTGTACAGCTGGTGAAAGCGAAGAAGAAGATGGATAAAAGAAAGAGTTGTCACCATGTGACAGAGGAACTACTATCTTTGTGATGTTGGTATATACTTGCATTTGGTCCTTCTGGCTTCTTTGGCCTTTTTTTTTTTTTTGTCGTTGTTGCTGCCAGTTTGGACGATTTTCTAAATGTTTACCATAATGTGAATGTTTACCATGATTGCACGGTAGTTAGCAAAATGCAGCTTGGTTGAATACAAACCTATAAAGACCTGAGCCAGCCCTACCCAATTATTCGCCTAGCAAATGTGTAAAGCATGGGTGTATACATAGCCGATAGCAAGAAATAGGTGGCTGTAAAACAAAAACTAGGGAAAATATTGAGTTAAATAATTTATCTGAAGCTTTATATATATATTTGAAAAAAAAAAAATATTTGATAGCTAATGTAGTCATTTTTTGTGGAAATAAACGCCACCAGTATAGCTTTATTCATTTTAACGAATGCGTAAAAATGCAGTCTAAGTTGATTTCATGTAGATAATGACGTTTGAGTAATCAAGCAATTAGACATAGGCGCCGAAACTTTGTTGCTCAGATACATCGAGGCCCAATTAAAAAAAAAAAAAAGAACAAAGCCTGGCTAAGCCTAATATTTATTTAATGGAACTAAGAGGACCCCTCTAACCATGGATATAAATTTCTTTACAAGTATTTATTTATAAAAATGATACATTTCGTATTATTTTTATTTCAGGTACAGTCAACACATTAATCACGCAAATAATGTGCTGAATGGCTAATAAGTATAATAAAATACCTAAAGTAATTTGAAATTTGTAAACAAACACTTTTAAAGATTATTTATATAATAGTCAAAAGTGGTATCTTAACTGTTTATGAAATTACTGAGTTATTTTTTGTTGTGGGGGGGGGGGGGGGGGGAGCCACGCAGCTCACCACCTTTAATTTTATTTATTGGAGGGAGGGGGGGGGGGGAGCACTCACAGACCTCAAGACCTATTTATTGGAAAGGGGGGGGGCACTCAAAGACCTGAGCCACCCCTACCAAATTATTCGTTCGCCTAGCAAATGTGTAAGGTAGTGAGAAGGGTGGGGGTTGGGGACATAGGCGTCAGAACCTGGCGGTTCAGGTCCCCTTGAACAATTTCCCCCCAATAATTGTGTAAGCGTTCTAGAAGACTCCTCTTAATTTCACTTACTTTCATTTAGTTGATCTTTTTCTACCTTGGGGTGTAAAGGTTTGCAAGAGATCACCAGACTTCTCTATCATCAGTTTTCTTTTTGGCTTTGTTCCATCCCAGTTCTCTGCCAGTCAGGGACTGTTGGATGTTTTCTTCCCAGCAGGCTCAGGTTCACCCTCTTGGGTCTCGTTCCCTGGTGTTTCGCCTCCCCTGCTTGCCGATTTTCTCCTATAGGGGCATACATGTCAAAACCATCCTAACTGTAACTGATCCACTCGAGTTTGTAAAGCCATTGTTTAAAGATCTTTATGTAATGTTGGATTGTGACCTTTTCTTGTCACATGGACCATCTTTCTCAGTAACTAATTTCTGAGGCCTAAAGCTGGCTTCTGTAAGCTGTTGGCATTGCCCATGACTCACACCAGAAGATATGGTGTTCAGCATCTAGTACTACATTAAAAGAGTTAGACAAAGTGCAAAATCAAGCGCTCAGAGTCATCACAGGAGGGATGAAATCAACTCCCATATTAGAAATGGAGAAAGCTGGGAAAACACAGGCACTGAGAGAACGCAGAAATACAAAGTTGCAAATACAAGCTGAAAAGTTCCTCAGTATGCCAGATCACCCGATGGAAAATACTACATTAAAAGATTTAAGAACCTAGCCTTGGGACGGTTAAAAAGAAGCAGCTTTATACACCAAGCAAAAAGAATATGTAGACAAACTCCTGACCTTCCAGAAATTGGCTGCCCACTTAAAAGTATTCCGGAACAAACCCCATGGAGAGAAAAATGTAAACTAACGGTACAAATCCAGACAAATGTGAAAGGGATATTTGACAAGAAAGAGCAAGATAGTGTACAACGCAGAATGGCCACCCTCAGT